TGTCCTTTTCCATCACTTACCTCAAAGAGCAAAAACATGGAAGCCCAAAGTGTCAGAGGCAGCTGAGCAAATGCATATTATTTCTCTGTTCCAAGTTCCAGAGGCATACTTTGGGACAAAGGATCTTTCATAGATCCAGTTATTGTAGAGATGCAAAATAGGAAGATGTGGTATTCTCTGTCTCGAGATTATTTTTATTTTTTTAAAGGTGTTGTTTTGTTAGAGCTATCAGAGGAAATTAGGGTGTTTTCAGTTTGGGACATTGGATACTTTCCACAGCTTTTCCACACTGCCCTATATCCCAGAATCTAATCCCAGATAATCTTCTTATCCCAGATTACTTGGCAGCGTAGACTCATATAATCCAGTTCAAAGCAGATAATGTAAGATCATTTCCTGCAATATAAGGCAGTGTAGATGCAACCTACATATTAAATCTCTGGATAATAAACAGGGTAGCCATTTAGAGTAAAGCTGGGAATATGTCAACTACCAGATGTTATTGGACTGTAGTCCTCATCAGCCCTTCTTAGCTTTCATCTTTCCAAGCTGAGGTATTACAGGACATGATAACTGAAGAAAAAACATGCTTGATCAGACTGAAGGCTATCTAGTCCAGCATTCTGTTCCCACAGTGTCCAACTACATGACTATGGGAAGTCCACATGAATGGCATGATTACACCTTTGAATTTATGCTCCTGAGGGGGTTGTTTAACAGAGGCACACTCACCATGGTAATGGAGAAAACACCTTTTAGGTATGACTGATAGCCTCTGATAGCCCAGTCTTCATGAATTTATGTAGCCTACTAGTTGGCATAATATTGGGGATTGTCAATGCAGATAAACATCAATACATATTGTGCTAGCAACTTCCACATTTAACTAGGTATTAAGTGAATGAATACTTCCCTTTGTCTTTCCTAAATCCTCTGTGAATGATAACTCACAGAATTTTCAGTGATATCTGGAGTATCTCATGTTCTCCGTCCTCACTTTAGAGGCCATCTTAACACATACATGTTATAATATTGACACAGTTATAAGCCAAGATACTCAGCAAACCCAGTAAATTTATCTGGATTTTAGTTGCTCAATCTGTTAGTAGTGGCCAAGTTCAGACTCCTGGATTAGCAGTCCACACTTGTCCTACATCAGTGTAAACAGGAAGGAGAGATGGATGGCTGATGGGGGAACAAAGTGGAAAATGCGAGATGGTGACACTAATTTAGCTTTCTTTAAAGCGGACTGTACTTGTAATGCTATATTCACAGAACACATCACCAGATGGCACTGTTACATAGGAGCATCTACAGTTCTTTTCTTAATGGTCCTTCCCACAGCAACAACAAAACCAATCTACTCAGACTGCTCCTAAATTCTTGGCGGCCAGTTTTATTAAATCTAAAACAGTTTCCTCCTTGATTAACCTAGAATTTCAAACAGAGGTGGAAAAATATCAGAGGCTTTAAGATTCTTGCCAAAATTATGACTTTCAAAGCACTCTAGACTCACTATCAGACAAAGCATTCACACATCTAAGAGGTTTGCAGTGCATATGACAGAAATAAAAAATAAAATATATAGAACTAGCTGTATCCGGCCACACGTTGCTGTGGAGAAATGGGAAAGAAAGAAAACAGGAAGAGCTGGTTTCTAAGCTATCAATACACAACTGAAGTTGCAAAGTGTCAACCTAATATAGGGCCCTTTTCAGTCTCCTCGAGGCCAAAGTGTTATATGGATCTGTGGAAGGGCCCTGGGTTACCTGAGTCCACACTGCCATATAACCCAGTTCAAAGATATTATAAAGGTGTTGTTGTTGTTATAGACATATAGATATTATTATAGGCATATAGATATTATTATTATAGACACAAATATTATTATTAAAGGTATATAGGCATTATTATTATTATAGATGTTATTTTTATTTCATATCAAAATTTTATTATTATTATTTACAGTATTTATATGCTGCCTTTCTCACCCTTGGGGGGACTCAAAGCATTGCATGAATTAGCATAAAACTAATAAAAAATAGAAGGAGCACAGGGCTAAACATCTTTCGAGCAAAAAAGGCCAACATATGTATTGATATTATTACAGACCTATAGATATTAAATAGCTATTATTATTATAGATATATACATATTATTATGATAGATATATAGATATTACTATTGTAGATATATTATAGCCCAGTGTTGCTATAAAGTAAAAATGGATGGCCATCTTTCGGGAGTGTTTTGATTGTGCCTTCCTGGACAGCCTTTTCTAACTCACAGAGCGTGCCTTTTTGTCCTTTCTTTGAATATTGGACTTCATTTCCCAGAATTCCTTCCCATAACTCAGTATGGGTGAGCTTTCTGGGCACAGAGAGAGAGAGAGAGAGAGAGAGAGAGAGAGAATTCCTCCCACATGAGTTTGCAGCGGAGGCTCCTCCATGCTGCCGACAGAGGGAAAGGAAAGAAAAGGAAGGAAAGGGAGGGGGTGGATCTGAAGGATGGTGTCCTCCCCCTCTCTCTCTCCCTCCATCCCTCCCTCTCTCTGAATCCTTTGGGAAGAGAGAGGCAGGGGGTAGCAAGAGGGATATACTGGCCACCTTTCCCTCCCTCTCTCAAGCTACCTCTCTCTCAGCTGTTGGGCTATTTTCCCTTGTGCAGGAGGGAAGGGCGGGAGGAGGGTGTTCTTTTAACGCATGCTCTAGTCATTTAGCTTTTGGGGGGGGGGGGGTTAAGTTCTTTCCGGTTATTTTTTTTTTTGTTTTTTTTGAGTGAAGGACATAGATTGTTTTAGTCGGTGTCTTGTGTTCAAATTTGGTGTCAATTCATCCAGTGGTTTCTGAGTTCTGTTAATCCCACAAACGAACATTACATTTTTATTTATATAGATTAGAATAAAAATCAGTAAAATCCAGAAAATTTTCAAAACTTATTCTTTATCTATTTAAAAAATTATGCACAAAATTTTATACAGTGGGGGAAATGTGTAAATAGTGTGTATATTGCAAGAGGAAAATACCAAAAATGCATACAAAGATCCTGGGGACAGAGAGAACAAATTTTGTAACTTTGTGAACAAACAGTGATACAAGAATGCAGCTGGAATTTGGAGAAATGTAACAAAATTCAGAAATAGCATCTCTAGCCTTGATTCAACTGGCCTTGGGGCTATTGCTCAATAGCTACCAATCAACTGTTTCTTTATTACATGAAATTAACTGAGACACACAGAAAAATTTCCTGAAAGAGATATTAAATTAGGTAGATTTTATGATTACATAGATTTGTTTGTGCACAACTACATCACAATTTTAACTCGTTGTTATATGATGTTTTTAGATTGTACTATTAGCATTGAATCCTTGCTGTAAGCCGGTCTGAGTCCCTCTACGGAGGTTGAGAAGATTGGGATATAAAAGTTTTAAATAAATAAATAATAAATAAATAAATAGGACAATTATAGATTTTAATACATATTCTTAGGATACATGTTGTGGAGGATGTTTTCCTCTGAATTCTATTCAGCAGAGTGAACCAGACTTTCCTCCAATCAGTTAATTTCTAAAATGTAAGGTATCTGGCAGGGCCCCTGGTGGCACAGCAGGTTAAACCTCTGAGCTGCTGAACTTGCTGACCCAAAGGTGGGTGGTTCAAATCTGGGGAGTGGGTGAGCTCTCACTGTTAGACCCAGCTTTGGCCAACCTAGTAGTTTGAAAACATGCACATTTGAGTAGATCAATAGGTACCGTCTTGGCAGGAAGGTAATGGTGCTCCATGCAGTCATGCTGGCCACATGACCTAGGGGATGTCTATGGACAATGCCGACTCTTCAGCTTAGAAATGGAGATGAGCACCATCCCCCAGAGTCAGACATGACTAGACTTAATGTCAGGGGAAATCTTTACCTTTACCTTTTACGATGTCTGGAAGAAAAGTCATTAGCCTGGGAAGCTCTGCTCTTTCTCTCAATTAAAGAATATAAAATTTGGGAATGGTTTTTCTTTATGAGAAATCTGGCTCTAAACTTATATCTTGGATGGTTCTGTTGGTGCCACCATTTTCCACATGGGTGCTTATAAATTTCTGATTCCAGACTGTTTTATTTAGAGTTTCTCTCTCACAAGTTCTGAGTAGGAATGACTGTACATGAAACATTCATGAATATAATGCGGTTGTCCACATTTAGATTTTTAGGTTCAGGAAACAGAACTTGGTGACTTGTAATGTTTTTCATCAGTTCATGGCATGTACTGTGACCTCATAAATATTGCAACTCAGAAATAATGTTAGGGGTTTTAAAGTTATTTTTATACAAGTATACACCTCCAGGGAGCCCCCAATGGTGCAGTGGGTTAAAGCACTGAGCTGCTGAACTTGTTGACAGAAAGGTCACAAGTTTGAATCCGGGAAGCGGCGTGAGCTCCCGCTGTCAGGCCCAGCTTCTGCCAACCCAGCAATTCAAAAACATGCAAATGTGAGTACCTCCGGCGGGAAGGTAAAGGCACTCCTTGCAGTCATGCCAGCCACATGACCTTGGAGGTGTCCACATACAATGCCCACTCTTCGGCTTAGAAATGGAGATGAGCACCAACCCCCAGAGTCAGACACCACTGAACTTAATGTCAGGGGAAAACCTTTACCTTTACCATATATACCTCCAAGAACCCAAGGTGGTGTGCATCCTCCTCTTCATTGTTTTATGTTCATGGTAAAGAGATTAAGCTATAATTGGCCTAGGAACATCAAGTGAGCCTTAGGGACATGGGTGAAGCTTGATACACAAAGATGTAGTCTAACACCACTATCTGTGATAATTGTATTTATAAGTTAGGCTTGGCACATTCATAAAGCATATCTTGATTACAAAGCAAGAATTCTCAACATATACTGCAAATCATTCTTTTAAAGATCCCATTTGTAATAACGGCATCCTCTTTCTGGATTTTATACCTACTCTACAATGTCAACATGAGAGTAAGAAAGGTTTATTATTTATTTATTTATTATTAACTTTATTTGTACCCCGCTAGCATCTCCCGAAGGACTCGATGCAGCTTACAAAGGCCAAGGCCTCAATAAAACAACAATATAACAAATACACATAAACCATAAAACAAATCAAAACATGAAAGCAATAACAGTAAACAGTAAAAACAGTACACATAGCACAATAAAACTAAGGCTGGGCCAAGTGTTATGGGTACAGATTAAAAAGTGCTGAGTATGCCAAATGAGATATAAGGATGTTTGGGTAAGTGCAGTGTGCAGACAATCTTAAAATCTCTAATAAAGTGCTTCTGGGACATGTTGCTGGAGTTTCCTATTCTGGAAAGGCACACTGGAATAGCCAGGTCTTCAAGCTCTTCCTAAAGACTGCCAACGTAGGGGCTTGTCTGATGTCCTTGGGAAGGGAGTTCCAGAGTCGGGGGGCTACCACAGAGAAGGCCCTGTCCCTCATCCCCACCAACCGCGCTTGCGATGCAGGTAGAATCATGAGCAGGGTCTCTCCGGATGAGCAAAGGGAGCATTTGGGTTCATAAACGGAGATGCGGTCACGCAGGTAGGCAGGTCCCAAACCATTAAGGTCTTTGTAGGTGAGCACCTGCACCTTGAATTGGGACCGGAAAATAAATGGCAGCCAATGGAGCTCCTTAAACAGGAGGGTTGACCTCTCTCTGTAAGGAGCACCAGTTAACATCCTGGCCGCTGCCCGTTGGACTAGCTGAAATTTCCGAGCCATTTTCAAGGGCAGCCCTATGTAGAGCACATTACAGTAATCCAATCTAGAGGTAACCAAGGCATGGACCACCCCTGCCAGATCAGCCTTTACAAGGTACGGTCGCAGTTGGTGCACTAGTCTCAATTGTGCAAAAGCCCTCCCGGACACCGCCGACGCCTGAGCCTCAAGAGTAAGCGATGAATCCAAGAGGACTCCCAAACTGCGAACCTGTGACTTCAGGGGGAGTGTAACCCCATCCAGCACTGGTTGCCACCCTACACCCCAATCCGGTTTTCGATCGACCAGGAGGACCTCTGTCTTGTCGGGATTGATCTTCAGCTTGTTCCTCCTCATCCAGACAGCCACAGCGGCCAAGCACTCGTCCAGCACTCGAGGGGCTTCCTTCAAGAAACATCTCCTTCTTGCTGTTATAGCTGGAGGAGAGTGAGGGATGAAACCCTTTATAGATCAAGACTGAAAAAGAGAACTACTACATGACATTTTTCTAGTAGTTTTTATATTTCTGTTTGTTTCTGATAAACTCAAGGGCCTCTATATTATATTAATCCAATTCAATGTCTGTATTACAGCAGGGATCATGCACGAGCTACTAACCCTTTCTTGCATTGCAATGTACAAACTGATCCTCAAAAAGCAAATACAAACTGTCTGTCTGATTTCATTTTACAGGGCAAATGTGCTTGGATATCAAGTGAGATTCAAGGATTCATTGAATGATTTATCATTTACTCCAGGCATTGGGAATTGTTCAGCAGCTGTTCTCCAAAGACATGGTGAGCTGGTTGCAAGGTCATCGTATGGAATGGGTGTAGTCAACAGAATGCAAAAATGTTCCAAACTGTAGCGAGACCAGCATGTAAATTCCTACAGAGAGAGAGAGAGAGAGAGAGAGAGAGAGAAAAGAATCACTGAAGAAAGTGGTAACAAGGAAGTGATGTAAGATATTACATGACAAAAGCATGAAAAAATTGCTAAAGAAAGATGGGTCTTTGGAGAAACATGGCATTACTATTTTGTTCACTGAGGAACATGTTGAACATGAGCCAATGTGTGCATCATTTCTTCCCCAGGAAAACATGTCTGAAAAATTAGATAAAACAGTGAGGGCAAGAGTCAGACATGTAAGAAATCACTGTATTGGTGACTTAATGCATAAATCACACTCAAGGCTTCTTAAAGAACTCAAATGTGAATGTATTATTGTTCATAAGTATATATCACTAAAATTTGCATCTGTGCCTCAGGACTGAAGGAAGCTCACAAAACAAAACACAATTTTTAAGGGATTTAGGAGGTGCATTTGCAGGTTTTACTATGCCTAATATGGCTTCTGTTTTGGATAAGCTGATGGTAGACTTTATTAAAAGACAAATGTTATGGTGGAAAAATCACTTCTGCCATATCTGAACAACATTTCTTTAGTTTTGTGAACAAGCATGTATGCACATTTTGATCTGGAACACATTGTGTACTTGAACTCCCAGAAATTATTTAACAAAATCCTTCACCAAAGTCTCATGAATAACTTTAAAGGCCATGGAATAGGAAAATATTGCCTCCTATAAAATTCCCTTTTATGAATTCTGGTATTAAGAGGTTCTTGCAAAAGACAGAAATGACAGATGTATTTCTCCAAGCATCTGTATTTGTACCAGAGCTATCTAGGTTATTTCTGAATAACCTGGGGTGAGATATAAATAGTGAAATAGTCATGTTTCAGACTGTTAAAACCCCAAAGAGTTCTGAAAGGAGGTCTGAAAAAAATTCTTATATCTCAGTGAACAGAATGATGCAAATGAGGTTCAATGTTAGTCATGTAATAAAGTACTAAACATTAGAAAGGTACATTTATGATGACAGGCTCTGAACTATCAGTAGCTAGTCATGTAAGAAATATTGTGTTCATGGTGGAGACTTCAATGAAATATTAATTCAAGTGTAGAGATGCAGAACAATATATATATATATATATATATATATATATATATATAAAAGCTACAGATTTATTAGGAAGAGTAATAATAAAACTGCATTCATATGTGTTTCTAAATAAATGGGTAGGCAGTCTAATTTCAATCTAACTTTGTGGACTTTGCTGTCTACCCATATGGCAGGCACAACTTGCGTTCTGATACATCTGCAGTAAGCTCATGGTTTTGAAAACTGCATGTAGAAAAATGTGTAATTTTCAAGAAAAAGGTGTACATTTTAAAATCTTGCAAAACATGCTGTAAACACACTTTATTGAATGAGTAGAGTACATTCAAGCAATCAGTAGAATCTTGAACATACACACCAATTTGCATACATTTTAAGGCAGGAAATAACTTTGAAAAACAACACTAGAAACAGGCAGAGACCAAATGCAGAAGCAGGAAAAGGAAGATAGCTAGATATGGACTTTTTGGTTTTATACATCCCAGAGAGATGCAAAGGCGTTTTTCATATTGTATGAATTGTGCAGTTCTGGATGCCCATCTCAAAAAAGAGGCCATTTTGCTGGAAACGTACAGAAAGGTTCAAATTGAATGACCAGGGGGTTGAAACATCTGTCCTAGAAATGAGGGGCCAACATGCGTTTTGAGTGGGCTTTTTTTTAAGACCTTAAACTATATAATCTATAGTGTAATCCTAAACTTGCAGTATTGATAACTGGATAGTGTTAGAATGGCACATTAATGCCTCTTTGCCAGCCTGTACCAGTCAAGGACACAAGACTCTGCTACAACCCACATTCCCATTCTGGCTAAGCAGGCAGGAAACTACAACTTTATGATTGTGGGGGAGGAAGAAATAAAATCCTGAAATGCAGCCTTATTCTGCACATCAGAGTGAACAAGAACTGGATTTGGATCTTCAGGATAAAATTCCACTTTCCCAAGACAAATTTCATTCAAGCCTTTCAGGTATGTTGGGCCTTAGTATAGCTAACACTTCCTCACCCATTGTATAAGTTAGTAGATGGGAAATGCCAACACATACATCCACCCACATCTTAGCAGAACTGTCTATTTAGCTTGTACTCTTACCACCATAACCTGGGAAGAATGACCCATTTCATCACATCCCACTGCTCCCATCATGTTTTTGCTGACCACCTTCAGATGTATAGCTTCCTTTCAGTGAACTCACCCTTTTCAAAGGTATACAATATTGTGCTACAAGGAGAAAGAGTAATACCAGGTCATCCACTTATGTATGGCATGAACACATAGATTTCCTTCCTTCCTTCCTTCCTTCCTTCCTTCCTTCCTTCCTTCCTTCCTTCCTTCCTCATGGCACTAGGATTCAAGGTAAATTCTATGGAACTAAAATTAGATGAACTAAGCAAATGTTACTAGGGAAGGACAAACTTGGCTTCTGCAAAGGAGCATCTGACATTTCCAGAAGCCATGCTGAAATCGATCAGTGGAAGAATAAGGAAGAACAAAAGAACATATTTCATTGCACAATTAGTTTGAAATCTACTGCAGAGGAAAGGCTGACAGCCAGCAGTTCAGATGGGGATTGTAAAAATTTATAGGGAATACATCTACAAATGCCTATCAACCACAAGAGCCTAGTGGAACCTTAATGTTCTAAGGTATCATGTTTTTGTATACCTTTGCTGTGGCCAAACACATTCTGTTTTAGAGAGCAATTGGATGGCTGCTGTAGAACACAGGGTAGTGGCCTGGAATGACTTCTGTCTAAGCCAGCATAATACATCTAATGAAGAAGTCTTAAGTAGATTGTATGGAGAATCCCTAACACTCATGCATGCTCTTTTTTTAAGTGTAATTTTTTCAATTAAAAATTCACTATACAGTACAGGTTAGCCACACATACAGTGTCTATGATGGATGGGGAACATATGGTGCTCAACATGTTGTCATACTACAACTCCCATTATCCCTCAAAGACTGGCTGGGTAAAGCTGATAGGAATTGGAGTCCAAAAACATCTAGCAAGCTACATGTTCTCCATTCATAGTTTACAATAATAAAGCACTGATCAATTCCCATCATTCCCAAGTCACAAGGTTCAAAGGCAACCACTTGCCAATTTATCAGATGTTGGGATACAGAACTAAGGAACAATACAATTACAGAAAGTATGGATGATCGCAATGGAAATTATGTAAACCTGCAGAATCTGTATCACACTTTGAAACATTTATCCCTTCTCTAGATACTCCTATCAACCTCCCACTTTCACAATAAAACCTCCAAATCCCACCTTGGAGTTCACAAACGCGCACAATGAATGGAAATCATATTAGGGATTTGACTGATTTTGTGCAGAGGTGAAAGAATAGGTTTTTCTGTTGCACTATGGAACTTACTGGCAGGCAAATATCATGGATCTGTAGAACACACACGGTGTGCTTGGTTTAATAGCATCCAGAAGGGGCCATGCATCTTCACGGCTGTACTACCCCATTCCCCCCAATCGCCATAGGAAATAAAATCTCAGGCTTCAATAAATAAAAACACTGAGAGAGAAAAAAAGAAATTAAAAAACCATAAATACTAAAAACCATGCCGAGGGTGGAGGGAAATTTTTCAGGAGCAATTGGTTGGACACGTAGGAAGAGGGAAGAAAAATATATGCAGTTTCAGACCTCGTCTTCTTGTTTCGGCGCGAAATGATTGACAACTTGCAGATGCCAAGGAATTGGAACAAGGGGCGATGGTCACCCGTCCCCACATCCTTTGTCCTTGGAATTTTTTATCCTTCTTGAAAAAGGAAGAATGAAAGAAAGGAAAGGAGGAAGGAAGAAAAGAACACACCTTCCAAAATGCTGCACTGAAATGGTTGATATCAAACCAAACATGCTGCAGCGTGGCATTCAATCTGCAATCGACAGCCAGCGGCTGGCCAAGCATGACGCCATGGCTCGTTTTTCACTCTGACACTACCGCAAGCTCCACCAGCCTTCTTGACTTGCAAGGTGATTGGAATATTGAATACAATGCTGCAGTGGAAAAGCCCGGTGCCTACTGTGACAACAACAGCCAACCCCCATACGCACTTTAAAAAAACTCAACCCATCCTTTCTATGCTTAAAAAAGGAGGGACACAGAAAGGGGAGTTTGTTCTAAAGGGCTAAATGCCTTCAGAGAAGACCTTTATTGTTTCTCAGTTCTCTCAAATGCCATCCCATCACCCCTGCAACCTTTCTGGTATGTATGCTTTTGCTATGGAAATGTAACCTGGTCATATATTGTGTGCCTGCAACAATGGCCACTGCAGTCCACTTCCAAACGATTACAATGCAAATAAAGTTCCTGGAGAGAGCCATAACTTATCATTTGCCTTCATGCTACAACCCATCATTCACTCAAGAAGTTTCTGTGCCTTGAAAAATCAAATCCTCCAGTACAGAGAGGAACAATATATTGTTTTTTTCTCTGCATTGAGTTTGATGTTCCCCAACGGACCAGTGTGGAGGTGAAATGAAAAATGGTATTTTGAAATATATTTGTCAAATATGCAGCAATCTTCAGCGGATGGGAAGATAAATCCATGCACTTGGCAATGGCTCATTAAAAATGACTATGGTAGAATCATAGAAAATGCCATTTGGTTAATAACCACTGATTATAGTGCAAGCACACACTATGCCTAGCAGAATGTCAGAATGCTTTTTGAGTGTACTGAAGAAGATTGTCCATGGTATAATAGCTTCCTTTCCTCACAACTGCATTCTCAACATCTCTGAAAGTGAGGTTTCTAGCCTTGTTTCCCTCAATATTTTTTTATCAACAGCAGTAGCATTGTTCTCTTCCATCTTCTAGACTAGATTTCATCCAGTACAAGGATCTGCATCCTTGCCTGCATTGTACCTGCAGTGAAGCAGTGAGTCATCAGAAGTACCTTCC